ATATTTATATGAGAATACAATATTGTAGTAATTTTCTCTACTATATTACTACTCTAATACTACTAAAACATTGGTTTAGGATGGTAAGGTAGTTATATTTTGATAGATATTGATGTGATATTAATTTAATCACAAGGCAACTTATTAAAATTAATCAAAAGAATTAATCAAAAGAATTAATCAAAAGAATTAATCAAAAGAACGTTAATCTTCGAGTTTAAGGTTTATTAAGTCTTTGGAAATAACATTTTAAGATCATGATAGCATTGTTATGATCTTTAGCAATATAATTAAAAATGTCTTAAATTTAATGTTAGTATAATATCTTTGTGCTATGAGATATATCTTTGTATATGAGATGTGTATTTTTTGAACATAATTTTCCGTTTAATATTTTAAAAATATTTCAAAAATATTACAGAATAATATGATCTCTTTTAAAATTGCAAAAATGTTTAAAAAATCTTAAAGTACCCAAACTACACTCGTAATAATACTGATAGAACGTTAAAAACTACGTATCAAAAAATGTTATACTCTATTGAATGTCGTTGCGTTCTTTTAACGATCTTTTGCTTACTGGGTCGTCAAATATATTAAATAAAGCGTCATACCTTTCGGCGGCAATAGTATGCGCGTCAAACATCATTTTCGTATTGTTAAATGTAACACGAACTGCTGTTTTCCCGTCATTACGTGCTACACAAATTTCAACATATCACGCAAAAGATTTTGATTTGGACATCTTTCATTTTCGTTTAATTTCTATTATCCATAGTCGATGAGTTCGAGATATCGAAGAAGCACCATCTAGCGTTTCTTCTTGTCACTATGGAATAAGGTACTAAAGAAAATATGAAGGAATCCTAAACAGAAAAACAGTTTCTGTAAAAGAAATAGAATACTGTTTATAAACAATAAACTTATTTTATTTTGTAATGTCTGCAGCTTATTAATCACACTAATACCAACATTTGTTGCAATAGTAAGGGAAACTACAGGAAACTCTTAAGGCCATTCTACAATAGCTGTAAGAATATGGCTGTAAGGCTGTAAGGCTGTAACGTAAGCTGTCAGCGAATGAAAATAATTTATTTCGCGTCTTACAGCCTTACAGCCATATTCTTACAGCCATTGTAGATAACCCTTTAGAGCATATATATATATGGAGGTGGAATTGCGTATGCCTCCTGTAAACCAAAAGTGTATCCGAAATCTGTGCGAGAGAGAAAGATATATATTCCTATTGGGAGCGTCCCGATTGACCACGGTACGATTGGATACAACCAACTGATGAAAAGAATTATCTAGTGAATTACTAGGTCGAACCAATCATTACAATCTGTGTCCAATCGTATCGTGGTCAATCGGGTCCCACCCATTCCTATTCCTCCTCTGTGCGCATGCGCCAACATGCGTCAGTTGTTGCTAAACTGCAAAATTATTGGTTTCAATATTTTTTTTACTTGAATTCTATCAACTTTACCGAAAAATAGCAAGAGATAAAAATTGTTTATTTTCTTCTCATAGAGCTCGGAAAATTTTTTCAGAATTTTATATTAACTTTTTAGTATTGCATTTTCTTGCATTTTCTTGAAGTACTAGAAAGTTAATATAAAATTCTGAAAAAATTCTCACAGCTCTATAAAAAGAAAATAAATAACATTTCCTGTCAACTCTATAACCTAACCTGTCAACTTTACACATGCGCACAGAGGACGAATAGGAACGTATAGCTTTCTCTCTCGCACATACTTGGAGACACTTTTGTGCCAGCATTCCCCCTCTATATATATGTGCTCTAAGAGGAAACCTTACCAGTATTCTAATAATGTAATTATATATAATAAATAACATGTTGAATACACAAAATATATTAAAATAGTATTCTAAGCATGCAGACAGCTTTTTCATTGTCTTTATACAATGCCAAATCTTTAATCCCATACCTAACCATGTTTGTTGAAATCTTTCTCAATTAAGCTTCCTCTCATCGATGCCACGTAATGTAGAATGTTGTTAGTAATCCATTTTTATTGCACTTTTTTATCACATTAAACTTATAGCGAATTCGGTTGCTTGCACTAGTGTGCATTGAGTGCGCACTAAGGCTTGTTCATAGTATGTTATTATATTTAAAGATTGTCTTAAATAATTCTCAAATAAATTCTCAAATATTTTTAACCATAATATGATATGTATAACATCCGTACGAATCATTTTATTAGTTAAAATGTTTTTAAATATGTATTTAAGACACGATCTTAAATATAAGAATGTACTGTAAACAAGCCTTAATGCGCACTCAGTGCGCACTAGTGCAAGCTACCGAATTCGCTATTATTTGACGTTAAACAAGGATGGAATGATGTTCGCAGTGACGCGTCGCCAAGTGGAATTTTTCTTCTGTATCTCTGGTGCGGAGAGTGCTTTGAACAAATCATTTCTATCACTCCACTGGTAAAAATGCAACGTGTAGCTATAAAGAGTAAACTGTTCAATAAGGTTTGCGGTTGATGCGATAATAGTAGAATAATAACAGTCGCTTTTTTCCTATTATAAGAAAGAAAAGAGCTATTATAAAAAAGAAAACAGATGTTAATTAGGTTAGTCCGCGATCAACGAGATTATATCGGTTGTAAGTTTGAAAATTATACTAATTACTGAGTAATTATACTAATTACTGAGAAGTTATAGGTAAGTTTATAATATTGTGACAAGAATAATAATTAAATAAGATTACAGTTACAAACATATTTATAAATTTGTGCATACATATAATATCCAAAATTTATCTGTATTTCAAATTTATTTAATATGTTAAGATTATACCAATTGTGATTGTCCTATTACATTTGTTAATGGCAAATTAAATTTTACACGTAATATATATTTGTAAAGTTATCACAATGTATTTAAATTTATTTACAGCTTGAATATAGAATCATGAATACTACCTCAAAGTGTGAATCATCTACATCAATCCTACATGCAACACCTCTTAAAAAAAGGATAATGAAAAGGGAAAATAGTCGTATAGATAAAATTGTTGAAAATAACACGACTGAAAATATGGTAATTGACCAAGAGATAACAAATAATACACAAGAAACATATACTCAATTCAGTCCTACAAAAGAAAAAACTGATGAAAAAGATTTAAGAACTAATGCAGTATCTGATATACCAATGAACATAGAAAATAAAGAAAACAAACATAATGATAATATACAAAATAATTTAAGATCACCAAATATTTCACCTATGAAAGTGAACAATAGGCATAGTACTCCTAAAAAAACAGATGATATTTTACACAATTTTGACAATACAAACTGTAATAACAAAACTAGTGATAACTCTGTGAATGATAAGAGTGAATTTTCACTCTGTCTAAGAGAATTACAAGATTTATTAAAAAGTCCACCAACTAAGAAAACAGAAAAGTTATTACAATCTGATAATATAGTTTCAACAAGTGAAAATTTAGAGAAAAACAATAAAAATGATGATGATAAACAATTTTGTGATACAATAGAATCAGAATTGTGTAATTCAGAAAATTTTAATGTCTTTGAGGCTGTAGATTTTTTACATGATGATCTGTTAGATACTGCGTTAAATGTTGAGGATACCAAAGCATCAAATATTTTATTATCCTCCATATCAGATATCAATGCATTACAGTACATTGATGAAGGCTTAGCAGATTTAAAAGAAGATCCACTGACAGATCCCCTACTTATTAGTGATCGTGAAGAGAAGGATATTGATACTAAATTCACAAATTCAGATTCCAAACCTCCACTAAGAAAATCAGTTCGTGTGCATAAAAGAATAACTAGTAATTATAGTGATAATGTTAAAAGGCATAAACTGAACACCGAAGAGAAACATATTTTGAAAGAATTGGAAAATATCGAAGAAGAGGAATTGCCATTGAGTGCTATAAAGGTTAATCAATATTCTAAATACTTTATATACTTTTATGTACGCTTACGCACTTTAATTAAAATTGAATATTTTATATACACAGCAATTAGCATCATTATGTATAAAACATGTACATAAAGTACCTCCGCAGCATAAAGTAGAGGCTACTGGAGCTCATAATGCAACAACTGAAGAGAAGAGCTTATTTCAAAAGTATGGTCCACTTCGTAAAGGTCCCTATTCACCTACAGAAGATACAATTATTGCAAAAAACTGGAATACGTTTTGTAAGGTATATTTCTGATATTTCTAAATTGACATAAGTTGTCCTCAATGTGACTCATGACTCAAAACATATTTTTATTCTTAATGATAAAGGAAATTGTTACGCAAAACATTGTGTAATTTAAGAAAATTAATACCAACTAATGACTAAAAAGAATCAATATGATTGAAATCCATAAATATATAATCATGAGCTAGATATTTTCATAACTATAATATTTAGATATATCTAAATATTTAGATTCTAAATTGTACAACTTCTTTTAGAAAGACATTCTATATAATCACAAATAACGAAAATATTTAACGAAAATTATTTAATAGTTATATTAAGATTTTACAATCGTATAATAAAAAGAATGACATGACATGTTCTACTTTACTATGTCATATAGCTCCATAATTGGAACTCAAAGAACACTGAACCATTTCTTAATTGGAGACATAATGGGAAATATTATATACGCGACTTGAGAGAAAGACAGAAATTCGTTCAATTCTTAGCAAATGGATTACCCTGGCGGACTCTCTTCAGTGTTTATACCAGATTTAAAGTCCTATACCGTAACAAAATCACTAATACTCGGTACGACAAAATAATTTCATTAACCTTGAATTTTCATCTCAAATAATTATATATATTTTAGATACTCGTCAAAAGAAGATAAAAAAATTTTAACATACATAAACAATAAGTATCTTGACAAACGTGGTACTAAATATATCGAATTAGCAAAATTATTGAGACGAACAAGCCAATCAGTATCTAAACGATATAGGTATCTTAAAAGAATTCAAAGTAGATCAGTGAAAGAACGTAAGTAATTCTTTCTCAAAATACCTTAATATATTTCTAAATATATGCATACACATATATTTATATAAAATAAAATATATTTAATTTCTTTACAATATTAGTAAACGTTAATTGGACGTTGCCACTTATCAAAAAGTTTATAAAGAAATTACTCAATATAACAAAGATTGTTAATGTGGAAGATCTTAAACATGCTACACTCCCTATGCCAATATGGCAGAAAATGGAAGAAGAATTAAATATAGACGGAAACGTTTTAAAAGTATTTTGGCAACATCAATTGCATCTGCAATTATTTAGTACAAACCCAATCTATTTAAATGATATCAAAATACAGTTAATTGAATAGTAAGTATCACATTTTACATCCCTCGTACTTTTGTTAAGAGGCATGCAAATTGATTTTGATACATTACAATCATCACTGAGTGTCACTACACATAATTCTACACATATGCATAATTTGTTGTTACAGTATGTATAAAAAAGGAATATCGAATACTCGTGAGATTATATGGCCTAATGTAGCATTATACTTCGACGGAGCTACAGCAGTATTTCTCTGCAAGATCTTCTTTTACCTTGTCCAAGAATGCGATATAAATGATACGGATAATTTTGCCCGTAATATGACGCTTCGTTTAAATTCGTAAAATCGCGCTACATGCAATGTGTTCTGAGAATATTTCTGTTGCAGATGTCGTGGAATACTTATATCACAAGAAGATTCCTGAAATTAAAGGTGCCCCGACAGATAAGTTCCTACCTAGAATTGTATACAAAGATGGAAAAATCGATGTATTAAGTTTGGAGGATGATACAAATAATGTTGATTATGGAGCTGATTGTGATTCTGATGACGATTAAATGCTCTGTGTAATAAATTGCATGTATTTAACACTATAATCACTCACTCTTGAATCTATTTGGTACATATTTTCATATGTGATCAAGATCTAAACAAACTAAGCAGATGCTATTCACCAAATATTTAGTAAGTGGTTGTATTATTGAATGTATATATATACTCTCATTGATAATTTTTTATTCTTTTTTAGTTGACATATTTCACTTTTATAACATTATGCTAAATATTTATAGCATAATACTGTTAGGCAGTGTAGTTTATAAGTAGATAAATAGATGCGTTGGACTAAAAGAGAGAAAAATGTACAATTATTACGTGAATGTAAAGCAGTTTATTAAAAAAAAAAAAAAAAATCGATACATATAATATTTTGCAATAATGTGGATGCTAAAACAACTTCAAGTTTGAGAGATATCTATTCTTAAATAATTACATAATTTTTCAATGTATATTTAAACTTTATTTTTCTTCGATTCCTTCTCAAGTGCTTTCTCCTTTGCTTTTTGATATAAAGGTACGAGTTTGCCTTCTTTAGCAAGAATCTTCAAAAGTTCCATAATAAGTGGTAAATAATTATGTTTTCTTCTGATATTCTCAATTTGGTATCTTTTTGACTTTCTCATCTCTTCTTCAATTAGTGCTTGCAAGCGTTCCAATTCTGCAGGATCACAAATATTGGCTTTTTGTCTCTCATATAAAGTTTTTCTGTCTGTTACTATAGCCATTAGATTGAAATGAATTTCACCTTCGTTATACCTATTCATAAACATTTTTAGTTTTATATAACATTACAGATAAATAACATGTGTATATATATGTTATTGATGTATATATTATATATATATCATGTTAGACAAAATTTCTAAAATATCTATATATCTCTTATATATATACACATATTTATTTACTTTTTTATCATAACTTACTTATTTATTCGCTTTTGAATTATAGGTTTTGCAGCTTGTACCCATTGTTCTCCTAATGGACATGGACCTAAATCTATTGGCCCATCCTTTAATCCATCTAATTCATATAAACGACCATCTATTGGAACATAACTTACAAAATGAAACACATTGTCATCTTTAGATGCTTGTCTTGAGTCATATTCAAATAAGGTTTGCCTAAAATTTTGCTAGTATATAATAAACAAAATATATATTGAGTAATGAGCAGTTGAAGAAAAAATATATTATAAATACCTTGAAAAGGAATTATGTACTTCCCTTATAACATCAGAGTTACTAAGAGCAAGCCCACGCATATTTGCATCAAAGCTTTGACCAAAATTTTTAAAATCCTCTAAATTTGGCCCTAAAGATATGTCTGTATGTTTGCAATTTAGCAAAACACTTAATATTGCTTGTGTTGCACAGGCATTATTTATTACCTAAATAAATATAATTCCTTTAAATAAGATACATTGAGATATACTAAATATCTTGATCATAGGTAAATTCTCATAAATGATTAAAATTATGACAGTTTTATATTTTTATTTTATACTTTACATACCTGTTTTGCAAAAAATATTTTATCCAATCTACTATCTTGTACAATATTTCCAGACAACTCATCATCCTGTACCCATTTAAATAAAAATATCAAACCATGAATTGGCCTGTAAGAAATATTGTTTGTAATAAGATATATAAATGTAAGAAAAAAAGAATCTAAAAGTTCATTACATGATTATATATTTTAGAAAGTAAATATGGGAAATATAGTTGATAAAAAATTTGTAATTGTTAACATGTCTTTGTCAGATAATAGAAATTACAATATCCATTGAAGTATGAAATATATTTACTTTAAATTATCAAATTGCTCATCATCCAAACTCCATAATTCTTCCACTTGTGCCCCTTTGACACCTAATACAATTAAATTAATATGTATTAATATGTTTATACTCTCTCCCTCTCCCCATATATATATAGATTACAGAATACAGCTTGACAACAGTGGATACATAGTTGCGCTATTACCAACTAATTTATAAACTCCACTACAATTGCATCGATTCTGTAACAATTTGACGAACGATAGTTAGAAACATAATTACCAAATTCTTTAATCAATTCTGTAAAAACGCCAGGATCACTCTCAATGAGACACCAATTTCCAGCTGAATCCGCCATATTTTATAAACTGTCCTGACGTGTGAAATAAGCAGAGAGTATACGAAAACTTGATGTCAAGCTGGTGAATAAAAAAAGACTATATTCAGTGAAAAGAACGACTCAGGGAACGCTTAATGATTATCACTCCTGATTGGTAAATACTTCTGAATCTATGAAAAATCTACAAGAATACTTCACTTATAGATAATAATCAGTGAGTTGTTTTTTCTGCTGAATGCAGCCAAAGAAGCAAACCTAAAGCGAGGTTTGTGATACCAAATTTTGTGGAATAAGCTTTATTTACATTTAGACAGCCGCGTGATCGTCGAATAAGTAGATTGGCTGTTTGATAGGGAATGTCTAGAATCTTCAGAGAAATCTTCGACGTCTGGGTAAAAGTTCTTTCATGAAGCACGGAGTTCAGTGAATGTTTCGTACCCAATGGCCGAAGAATCTGAGGTAAATCTCAAATTGCAAATCGCAGAGATGCAATTTCTTATCCCAGAGATTGGAATGACGCGGTGATATTGCGTTCTACGTCAATCTACGTGACTTTTTTTTATCAGGACATTCACCGTGAGATATGTAAGGATCGTAAATAAGAATTCGCGGGCCAACTAACGATCAACAAATAAGCATGTCGACAATGGAGGGCTCGCTCAGTAAGTGGACAAATGTGGTTAATGGATGGCAATACCGATGGTTTGTTTTGGACGACAATGCTGGCCTTCTGTCTTATTATACGGTAAAGATATTCTCAAGAAAACAATTACATTGGATAGGTTAGGTCACGTTCTCACAGTACTCGGTGCTAATGCAGTTTATTGTGATTTGATAGACTTTTTATTTTTCAAACTACAATTCACATATTTATCTGATAGGATTGACAAGCAGTCTCTATACGTTTTTTTTTATCATTTTTAGAGCAAAGAGAAAATGATGCGTGGAGCACGTCGTGGTTGTGTACGACTGAGAGGTGCTATTATTGGTATAGATGATGAAGATGACAGTACATTCACTATTACTACATCATCATGTAAGGATGACCCAAAAACATTTCACTTTCAAACACGCAATGGGGAAGAAAGAGAACGTTGGATTCGTGCACTAGAAGACACAATTCTCCGTCATTCCAATGCGGTATGCAATCAAGCATGTATATGTATAAATACAAATGTATATAATTGTGAATTCTTTTACATAAGCAATAATACTGATATGTAACAGTTCAATGAATACTTAAAGTTCAATCCAACAAGGAATTAATCATTTACAGAGGTGGGATCCTAAGAAATCACTTCCTAAGCAAGATTTTGATCGCAAAGTGGCTGAGGCTGATGCTTATCTTCAACTCTTGATTGAACAAATTAAACTGATCGAAAATAAGAAGAGTGCAGTTGAGGAAGATGAGGAAAAGCAGAAAAAATATTCAGCTGTCTTACTACAAGCCAATGCTATGCTTAATTCTGTTAAACATACCATTGTCCAGTTGCAAATCGCAAAGGTATTTCATTACATATTATTTATTATTTCACCACGATTGGCATATTATATATAATATCTGTTATTTCGTCGTAATTAGAATACAGCAATACCAGTTAATGGAGTATACAGAGGACCATCTAATTCTATACATGTCCCTCCAACACTCTCCCATGGTACATATTTTTATATATTCCTTTCTTTATTATATTTGTCTATGTGAGTCAGATTCTCCCTTAAAGTATAATTTCAGTTGCAGCTAGAGCACCAGAGGCAACAGTGCAAACTGGCATCGAATTAGGCTCTGAATGTGTTGAACCCAGGGTGCCTACATTATCAAATGGTTAATATTACATATGTACCTATTTTTGTCATCATTCACAATAATTTACATTAAGTTTGCTCGCGTTGCAAGCACTTTTGCTTGTTGTACACTTGATGCTTGTTGTACATTAAATGCTGAGGATTGATTATAAATTTTTTCCTCTAAAATAAATTTATGAAAAGCAAACATTTTCTAACATGAAAGTGTTTGGAAATATTCATTTTTTACGAATCTCAAAAATTAGATTATGAGTTTCAAAGATTCATGATCGTCTCATTTCCCACTATATTAAAAGCATCATTTTGCATCCCCAGTTGTAGATAGGGATCTGCCAGTACCACAATTCTCATATTCCTCGTCCGACGAGGACGATGATTACTTCGATGCTGCGGACGAGATACCAACTCCAATAAGCCAGAATCATATTACGCTGCAAGTATAATATGTTAATAATATCTCCCCTCCCCTCTCCCTGCATGAGTTAATGTTCGATCTTCTCATTAAGCTTGATCTACAATGTGTCATTTGCTTCTTGTTTTTTTTTTTTCTTTATCTCTTTCTGACTCATATCTTAAGTTTTAAACTAAAAAAAGACAGAACAAGAAACAGAAAACAAAGAGCACCTTGTAGATTAGACTTTAATGTCGCACAGTGTTAACTTTCTCACGGTGCATTGCCCGTGCTCATTGTTTTTCTGTTTATTCTCTCTAGAAAAAAACAAATACGAAATTCATGTACTCGAGTGAATAACGCACAAATGATTTCTAGACGTTCCGATAACGAGCGATTTCATGTGTCCACGGAAAGTGCCACAGGCGATAAACGTAAAGAGCCACCTTTACCACCTATCAAAGGCGACGGATCAGTAGACTACGATGGTAAGTCGGCACATTATGTTATTTAGATACAAAAGAGCTATTTGCATGTTATTCACAAGTTTCCATTTCCGTTTGTCGGCTGTCGTTTGAAGCATCGCAATCTTGATCGATACGCGCCACCGACTTTTTATTCAGCCTTGCTATGTATGTGGTATCTGTTAATTGTGACATTTATACTCAAGAAGTAGATAAATTATGAGAAAAATAATATTTCAGTGTACAGAATGTGTTCGTAGAATAGTTTAGACACAATGAAATTAGGAGCTCATCAAACTGTTAAAATTGAAAATCATTACCAACGGAGAATTATGCAATAATAATATAATTAAGAACACTAAGTAATAGTAAATAATAATTAATAAGAGAATTTTTAGGCAAAATCGCCTCAATAACAACTCTCAAATTTGAAAGTTCAGTAAGCTCCCAACTTCATTGTGTCTAAACTGTTTTGCAACTGAATGTATGTACATACATATATGACTTGCAAAATAGTTTCAACACAATGAAGTTGGGAGCTCACAAACTTAAAATTGAGAGTTGTTACTGCGATGAGAGTTTGCCTTTATAGTAATTATATTATTTTTTAAATCGTTATTAGTATATATTATTATTAATATTTAGTGTTCTTAATTATATTATTAATTATATCATTATTGCATGAGTCTGTCCATAATGACTCAATTTCGACAATTTTGAGAGATCCCAGTTTCATTGTGTCTAAATCATTACATAATACATATACTCAAAAGCATAAAAACCTAAATGTCAGTCTTAATTAACATGTTGCAACATGAGCTATTTACTACTATTTGTGGTGTTCTACATGCAACTTGTACAATTTTTGCTGCTGCATAGTAAGGTAAATGTCCTAGTAATTGAACATTGTCCCAGTGATTGAAACAATAATATATTTGTATTTAATATTTTTGAAAAAAGAGCTTTTGAAATTTTGTTAAAAAATATTTTTTATGCAAATTTATATTATTTAATGAGCAAATTATTAAGTCTACGTTATTCAGTAATTAGATCACCATTCATTTTTCAATTTCATTACTTTCATTACACAACTGGCATTATTTAATACATATCTCATTAAAATTATAATTGTGCTATTTATTGATTGTTTGGTTTTTCTATTTTTTTCACATTTTTCACTCTCATTACATTTCACATTACATTTTTCACTCTCTGACAAATCAAAGTTTTACATTAACAATGTTTTACATTCGTTTTGTTGGTAATTCCATTATTAATGAGAATGTAAACTCGATACTTTTTTATTCAGTCATTGAGGCATTTACCTTACACTTCTCTGCACGAATTCTACAATTTTAGAGACCACTGCAGTGGCTTGATCGGTAACGTAAGATGAGATTTCAGTGCTTATGGTTTGAGGAAAATCCCTCACATGTCTGTTGATGTATTACACGTACGACTTTTTAAACAACGTATAAAAAATAAGAAACAAGATAAAAAGGTCTCGCAGCATGTACAACACAATAGTTCTATTGTCGATAATACAGGCCACGTATAGCACGCTTGATCGTCTGCTTTATCTACCGTGACCACTATTGATCTCTTAGCTGTCTGCTTGGAATGCTATCTTTGACGTGTGAATTAGCGTTTCACGAATGAACACATCCGCGAGCGTTACGTTGTTTCTCCTGCGGAATAAAGCAGTGTGTCAAGTGTAAGAGAATGTCCAATTGATATGACAATGAATAAAGAAAGAGAATCTCGGCAGAACTTGACGTTCTGTCGTTCACTTTCACGACAGAACATTCGGCAAAGTGTTTCGCGTTAATAAGACACGATTCGGTCCCGAGGGAATCAGGAGTTTAGGAATGGATACTAGTTGGTCTATTCTGGCGAGACAACATGTTGGACATAACTTCAAGTCGTAAGTTATATACATATATATGTGTCGATGTACGTGAAGAATTCAGGTTAAGTCGGGGGAGTTTTTGAGCTCTTTCTTGTATCATCGTCACGACTCGTTTCCTCCAAGCTTGTTACTCGTTGTCGAAGTTCACAAATCGAAGTTAGCGGCCCTTAAATCTCCATTTCTGCATGAATATTCGCCGTACTTTACAATGTGAGTGTATGTGTGTTTGTTGCAGCTCTTTACGAAGAAGAAAGCGAAACAGAAAGTAAGTACATAAGCAAACACATAAGTATGAAACGATGAGGAATGGTTTCTTGCATTGGCACCCTCTTTCTTTGTTTTCGTCGTTTGCAGTGGATTCCATGGAGAGCCATGGATCGGTTGTTACGCATCTTCTGTCTCAAGTAAAGATCGGTATGGACTTGACAAAGGTTGCCTTACCAACATTCATTCTAGAGCGTAGGTCACTTCTTGAGATGTATGCCGATTACTTCGCTCATCCTGATCAGTTTGTAAGGTACTGCAGCAATTCATTTACTATCAGAACTGCTAATGATTAATGCACATTTCCAGGAAGGTTAAAACGACAGATTTTTTAAGACCTTTTTGAAGTGGTTAAAAGGAAAATATATATGTATATATTTTTAGTTTTATCCAATGTTGATTAAAAGCATAAGATATACATTACAAATTCCAGTAACTTTTATAAGAAATTAGAAACTCATTTTTTCCACTTAGATAATTTTAATATTAATAACAGCACTTGATTCAGAATAATTACAGTCTAGTAAATAAAGAATATTAGATCAATATCTTGAAATATTGATTTCATATTTCTTGAATACTTGATACTTTAACAATATCAAAAATATTTTTGATATCAAAAATATTTTTGACATTGTTGATTTTGTGGGACAATACATGTACATACATTGAAGCAAATTGTTTTATATTTAATACATCTGCATAATATACTTTTGGAAATAATGCTTTTTTTCATAATTTAGCATTGCAGACATGCCAACACCTAGGGAGAGGATGGTGCAAGTAATTCGTTGGTACCTGTGTAGCTTTCACGCGGGACGCAAATCTGGTGTGGCTAAAAAACCATACAATCCTATATTAGGTGAAATTTTTCGGTGTCACTGGAACATACCAAACACCAGTTCTTCTGACAATATCACAGATTCAGGAAGCAAGCTTATATCAGATGGTCCTGTACCATGGTGCAAGGAGAATCAACTTGCTTTTCTCGCTGAACAAGTCTCTCATCACCCTCCAGGTATTAAAGTGATTATTAATTCACATCTTTTTCCCACTTCAGATATGTCACATGACTTATCAATTGTACTTTTTGGTCGCAGTTAGTGCATTTTATGCTGAACACGTTGGAAAAAAAATTTGTTTTGGAGCACATGTTTGGACAAAAAGCAAATTTCTGGGCTTAAGTATAGGGGTTCACAATGTGGGAAAGGGTTGGGTGAATGTACTGCAACATGGAGAGGAGTACGTTCTAACTTTCCCTAATGGTTATGGCAGATCTATCCTCACTGTACCATGGATAGAACTAGGAGGAAGTGTAACTATAAGTTGTTTACAAAGTGGCTATCATGCGACGGTAGAATTTCTAACGAAACCTTTTTACGGTGGTAAACGAAATCGAATCACTTGTCAGGCATTTCAAGCGGGAGATAAAAAGCCGTTTCTGGTTATAAATGGAGAATGGAGTGGTATGATGGAAGCAAAGTGGTCGGATGGTGTAAGTGGAAATACTTGTAACGATTTTTTTTCAATATTAAATAAGGGGTATTATATTAGGTTGTGTAATTAGTAATTTCAGGCGAAAGGCTTTTATTTTTGTGCAGATATAAAAATATAATTTTTTGTTTCATTTTTTACCTGAAAAATCACAAATTATTATACAGTTCAGTTTAATTAAATGTATTTACATAATTACGTACTTACGAATGTGACGGCCGATTATTAACAATATTATATAATTTTCTGTTTTATAGAAAAGTGAAATTTTTTCTGATGTTAAAGAACTTAGTACAGAGAGAAAATTAGTTAAAACAGTATGCGAACAAGAAGAGTGCGAATCGCGAAGGGTCTGGCGTGATGTCACAGTTGGCCTACGTATTAATGATATGGATAAAGCTACAGCTGCAAAATGTGCAATTGAACAGAAACAAAGGGACGAGGCACGTGTCCGAAAAGAAAATAATATAACGTGGCAGACGAAAGTAAGGACGATTCTTGTGCGATTCTTTTATGCTCGTCGCATAAATTGTGCCAATTAATCCTTTTTTCTGTGTTTAAACAGCTCTTCAAGGAAACCAAAGATGGTGGTTGGGTGTACATAAAACCTCTTGTAGACAGAATACGCAGTTCTAGTGATCAAACAAATGTTACGTAACCATGTTCAATACAATATTACGTGATAATTTTAGATGCAGCACAATACTAGGAAAAATCATGGCCTAATGCCCATAAGAACTGTAATACTAAGCTTAATTCGAGATATGCACTTTCACATCTGGAGATTTTTTGCAAATATTTTTACGTGCATGATAACCAATTAATTCAATCGAAAAGAAAAGTAATATTGTTATTCACTTTTTTATTATTCTATGCATTTTCAATCTATCAAGTCACACAATAAATGTGTTTTTCGTCGCTACCGAATAATCAATTTTTATGATATGATTTTCTCCTTGAAATAATTTTACAAAGACATTGTAACTACTATTATATCAATATTTCAAGTACATATGTATAGCGAAATTACAATTTACTATATAATTGTGACGTTTTATTATCGTTGTAATTTGTTATAAGAAATTATATGTACAATTTATGCAAACCTCTGTATACATTATATTGTATAGATTGCATTGTATGCCATAACGTATTCAGACATTGTTTTGTGATAGGATAGAGACATAGATAATATATCCAGTATTCTGATTATAGAATTATTTTCACGTAACTTCGAGTTTCTCTTGCTAATAATTACATATTTCCTGTTATATATGATGCATAATCCACATTCCATAATTATGAGTTTCTGAAATAAATGCATTACTTATGCACAGAACAATATGTCACTGACAGCTACTTAGTGTTTTGTTGCTATTGCAACAATACAGATTTCTCGGTTTTTCTTCACATTCCAATTTCTTATTTCTTATTTATTCAAACGATCGTCGATATATATATGATGAATAAAATTATAAAATATGTTCTATTAATATGAATTATAATATATACAATTTATATCGACATAAGTATTGGAAATTTTTAATTAAATAAGATGTCGATTTTTTGAAGTAGTAACATTCTTATTATATTCCTAAAAAAACAAAAAAAAATCGAAATATTTCCCTTAGCTTTCAGTGATATGTAAAGGGAAACGTTCAATAGTCAGCATTCGTGGCATCCCAGTTTTCAGCAACTTTGCACAGATTTTAATAAATACTGAAAGTATGGGGATTTATAAATTATTTATTAAATATATATCAATTATTTATTTATTTTTAAATCCCTATACATCCCTTAATATTTAATCAAATCCGTAGGAGAGCGTCGAAAACAGGCAGAATGCTGATGTTCTTCCCTACAAAACCCATAAAAGTTACTTAAATATTCCTTTACTTAATTATCATTCTGTACACTGAACTTGTTGCTGAAAAATATGCACATAGTACATACAGTTCTTTATTGTGTATAAAAATAAGTATACAAAATATATGAAAAATATAAAAAAAATTAACATTGTTCGGTGATAGTATTATAATATTTAGTTCATTTCGTTTTCTCGTAGTATTATGTAACCAAGAAAGTAGTCTGCAACATTTCTATAATCGTGAGGCAGACGTTTCGTCGACGACAATAAATGTTTTAATCCAGCCTCGATCATAGGTAAACCTACTTCATGATATTCAGTGTTCCAATAATTATTGGTGCTAGCTATTTCATTTGTGTCATACTTATATAAAACTTTGGCAACATATTTCTGCTGCAAGGAGATAGATGTATCAGTATCACTGATTGTTTGATGATTATTTGGTTCTGTAATTAAATTCAATGCGCGATCCATTGGTTTAATCAGAAGATAATGAGTCTGCTTGCCGACAGATGTTTGCAGGATAATCTCTTCTCCTAATACATCACTAAGCGAGTCTTTAATGAACGTTAAAAAGTCATTTAATGGGTCAGTAGCATTCACAGTATTTAATGCTTCATTTTGAGGTTTATAGTCCACGCAACAATTCCATATTTTGAATAAATTACACGAATGAAGTGTTCCTATATGTAAAAAGCATTTATCACAGATCAATGTTTTATTATCTATGTGTAGACTACTTATAAATATACTTTTGCACAAAAGAGCAAAATAAGACCCGTACAAGTAATCAGACTCTTGCGTTTCTATGTTCTTTATAATGTTGTCGGAATTATGCTTACAGCAGAACCACTCATCTGGACTACACTGTATATCAGGTAGAGGTAGAATTCTCTTAAAAGCAGTTGCTCTTGAGATGACATTCTTACAACAAGCGCACGATACGACGCATTCTGACGCTTTAAACAACAATTTAATATCTTCTAAAATTGGCTGCAAACAAGAAGTCAACTGGAGTGACTTGCTGGGATCAGTTACCACTTCTGTACTAAAAGACCCAAATACCAAATCTAACGGCATCGTTTGTAAACGAAAGCAGACCCAATTATCTTTTATAATTAACATAGATAGAGAAGTAGGTACAATTCTTATAAATGGTAATGAGAAATTTATACTATGATCCTTGAGTATTAACGCTATGCTATTTTTCGAAAGCTCGATTCGAACATCTTTTAAATTTAGATCTTTTCGCATAGCAATAAATGCGTTGCATGATTGTAGTAGTGGTCTCAACTCTAATGTTAAAAATTCCATTGTTTTTGAGTTATTTAGTAACATAACCACCTCATGATATGGTAGTGATACATCTTTTTAACCGCGATTCTGAAATTTATAATAAGTATAATTTATAATAAGCCTCACTGAATTAAATTTCAATTTACTTTATATTTCTGCAAAAAGAATGTATTTCGAGATAATTTTATACTTACCTATCATATGCACTTACTCATACCGTGCACATCAGTGAACCATGCCAAAAGTTAGGTTAAGTATTTTCGGCGAATCGTGCGTCTTTGATAGGCTGACGTGATCTGAGAGAACATAATTCAGAGTAAGAGCCATATGGTATCCAAAATCATTTTACATTTATTGTAATACGTGCATACCTGATTAAAAAAATTGAAGTTTCTCTGACCCGTCATTGAGTTGTACTTTTTGAAAATGAGGATTTCTCTAACTTGCCGCTCAGTTTTTCGTACATTGAAGTATAGAACAAACTGGAATGAGCGCTGCTTTGTGAGACTAAAGGCCCTTGCACAATGCCAAGCTAAAGGCAGTAGAAATAGGTATTAGCCAATAGGAACAAGGAATAGAAATAATTGACCAATCCGAATTCCTATTCCCTGTTCCTATTGCCTGTTGTCTGGCATTCTGCAAGGGCTTTAAGGTGCGGGTTCAATGGTGGTTAGGCGACAAAAGTGGAAGGGATAATGTTGGTATCAAGAGAAATCTTTACACGATATAATTTAAAGATCTGTTTTTTGTAACTGCACTGCTGAACTAATGCAAAAGATTAGAGTGAGAAAACGTATATTTGCCTCATTTCAATTTATTGCACCAATTTAGCAGTGCAGTTACAAAGAACAGAATCTTTAAATTATATCGTGTAGAGATTTTCTTTGGTACCAACATTATTCCCTCCACTTTTCGGGAAACTGTCGCTTAACCTCCAATGGTCCGTAAACATATTCATATCCGTAACCATAAACAAAATCGAGTCGTGATTGGTCGTGATATATATCACGTGATATATATCCAGCTAATGGCTTGGCTTACATCGTGTACTTGATACGCGTACTAAATAGTAACTTTCTATTAGATAATCTTAATATCGACGATATATATAAACAATGGTATATTAAGCTAGTATAATACTCATCAAGAAAACGTATTGTATTGATTAAACGCATCGTTGTTGATATGCATTATCAATATTAAGATTATCTAATAGAAAGTTACTATTTAGTACGCGTATCAAGTGCACGATATAAACCAGGCCAATGTAGAACTTTATAGAGCGTATACATTCTGAAGCGCGACTACCATAACTTCGGGCGTTCGCCAAATCATTTATGACGGTTATTGCGGGCTGACAGCGCACTTGACAGCCATGACAGCTCGCTTTTATCAGTAACACCACACCGAGTTTCGTGCGAATCCAACTCGCCTTCATGAATTTGTCCGGAATACGCGCGATGAATGCGAATCCAAGACTCGCGCGAGCGTTGTGATTCGCGCGTAGTAGCGGCACATCGACAAGACACGGTAAAGTTCGCGCACAACGTTGTTGAGAGGTCTTACATGATCCGCAAGTGCGCGTTGCTGACAAGTGGTAACCTCCTCCTCGCTCAGTGCAACGCACACATCACGTTCGTTCTCGACGCACTTTTAAACGGCCGATTACCAAATGTCAAAGAACAAACTCAACTTAACGCTACCACCTGGCTCGATTGAACCAGCACCAGCAGTATCACCGTCGCCGCCGGTTCCACCCTTGCCCACATACTCGGAACCACCAGTGATACCCGAGTAAGTCGGCGATTCGTTAGATAAGCTCGTCTCAAGCGGTAGTAACGTTACTGGCGATATGGCGATGTTTACTGTCTTGAAGGTATTTAGTTGTTATAGAATTCCGATTTAAAAGTTGCCACGGTGTTGTAGAATATTCGAGGGTCCTGTCGGTGAATCGCGCCCGACCTGGAACACTCTCTTTACTTGGGCCTGTGTTAACGGTTGTCACCTGAAACTTTTCTCATGTGAGATTCTCAGACTTCTATTCAAAGTTAGATCCAAGGATTTCAATTCAATTATAATGTGTTACATATCTGTAATCATAATTCAATTAAAAAACTCGTATTTAGTCAATTAAAGATCAGTTTATACCAAAAAAGTAACAGCAATGTTAATAGCAGAGAGCTATAACAAAAATGTTCTTGGCAAAACTATCTTCTCCAAAGAAGTTGACTGAATATTTCTAACAAAATATGCTTTTAACAATGTGAAAAACACAAGTATTATTAACAAAGTTAAAAAACTTTACCAAGATTAAACTGGTAGGTATCAATGTTATTAACAAAAATAATGTTTCCAAATGTTTTTAACAAAAGTTGGAAAACTTCAAATAGTTTATAATTCTCTTATCAATAAATATGTATAAATTTTAATAGTATAATTAGTCAAAACAAAACCTTTGTTATTAAAAGTGTTGCTAAGACATATCTAATTCAATTTTTTGCCAATAATTGCTTTCAACATCCTTTGATCTAGACCATTAAGTAATAGGTTATATAAATAATATTTTCAATAATAATGATAATAAAGCTACGCTAAAATAGGTAACTTTTGCTAATAACATTTGTTTTCTGCAAAATATTTAAAACAAACGTTATTAATATGTCTCATTCTATACATTTGTCAGTAACACTGCTAAAAACACACCATTAACAATGTTACTGCTGGTGAAAACTGATTTTAACAATAACATTACATAGATGTTATCATTTCTCAGTCAACAATGTAACTGTTGTGTAACATGTGCTGTATTACTTTAATTATGCTAGGAAATTATAACATTAATGTAATGTTACTATTAGTGTAATGTTACTATTAGTTTATGTTTACTGAATAACTCTGAATTCAAATCTGAGTATCTTACTTGAGATGAGTTTCAAGAAATAACTATTAATATAAAAACCTTGGAGTTCTGGATATTGATTATATATCCTTTTCCCTTCTATGAACTTGTGAAAAGTGAAAATTTTCATACTAAGGGAAAAGTTCATGATCAATATCTTGATCATTTCTTATATGAATGTGCAACAATTCAATATCCTCTGTGTGTGTGATATATGAGTGTGTGTGTGTGTGAATCAGTAGGCTTATTCTGTGATTTTTAACGACACTGTTATTAAAAATTACAAAACAAGTCTACAATTTGCCTCTGATGCTTGCTAGATCCTCCCCTGACAATTCTTAGGATTGAAATTTCGGGAAATACTGCATTTTTTATTTTTCAGCGGTGTGATGGGTAGAATGAATATTGATGTTATTCAAGAGCGATTCGAGGAACTAGAAATGGACGAGGAGCAGAGGAAACGATTAGAGAGCTTTCTGGGACAGAAAGAGAAAGTTGGAGAGTTGTGTGATGAGGATTTTGAGAAGTTGGGTGAATTGGGCGCCGGTAATGGTGGCGTTGTTATGAAAGTCAGGCACAAAAAGTATGGTCTCATAATGGCAAGAAAGGTAAGTGTCTGTACACTGCTAAATGTTTAATATTTGTTGTTGCTATTACATGGAACTTGCTTGTATTTCAGCTGATACACTTAGAAGTAAAGCCAGCTATTAAAAAGCAAATAATCAGAGAATTAAAAGTACTTCACGAATGTAACTTCGCGCATATAGTGGGATTTTATGGCGCTTTTTACAGGTAAATTTTGCAAGATTCTAAAACTCTTGTTCTAAACTGCCTTTTATCAATAAAAGCACTTTTAAATACTCATAAGCCTTCTGATTAGCTTGTAAGTTCATTTAGAAATACTCTAAATCTATGAAAAAAATTTAGAATAAGGTCCTAAGTATATTTGATAAATTCTTGAGTTATACAAGTACTAATGGCTGGACACTAATAATACTCATATCTAACTCTAGGTTAAATATCTAACTCTGAACATTCTTATTCTATTTATTAACATTCTGTTTATTTCTTATTCATAATATATATTATGTTTCATAGTTTTAATCTGTAAATATAAATATTTAAACTTTCAATATGGAGCACACACATATATTGAATATATACATATATTCTATGATAAAAGTTAAAATATTCGTATCTAAAAGACATAAAACAGTAAGAATGTTCAGAGTTAAATACCAATGTTATTAGTGTCCAGTCATTGATACTTTTACCTTATACAATCAAGTAGAGAATGGCTGGCAAAAACCAGCCATGTGAATATTAATGCGAAATTTATTATTCGCAAAATTCTCTACTTTTTGAAACATCTGTTTACAAACTGAATATGTATACTATGTATTACAGTGACGGAGAGATTAGCATATGTATGGAATATATGGATGGTGGGTCTTTAGACTTGATATTGAAAAAAGCAGGACGAATTCCAGAACCTATTCTAGGCACAATCACATCTGCTGTAAGTAAAGCTTTTATTACTAAAGGTTTCTTATTTCTTACATAAATTCTACGATGATAACGATTACACAACGAATACATGAGACACATGTTCGCATGTGTCGCACAATTAGTTATGGACAATTAAAAATGTGTGTATGATATCTGAAGAAACAACTGTTCTCTTATGGATCTCCGACAAAGAGACAGATTGTCAGTAGTATGTTTCTCTATCCATGATTCCACCTGGGAAGCTACGAATGCACAGGCGTCTTAGTTCATCGTAGATCCAAAGAAACGCAGCTAACGGCAAACAGGGCCAGTACCAATAAGCTTTCAGGGGCATAGTTTTCAAGATGTACTCCGTGCCAGGAACGTACAGCAAAACTCCCGTTAGAACGAGCTCGAAGACAAATGAGAAGTTCACGAACCAGTTGTCCATACCTTGCTGGAAGATCGAGTTTCGTCGGGTTTTGCACATCACCAGATCCACCATTTGCAATACCACGATGCTGAGGAAGTAGCCGCTTCGCGCCTCATTCAACAAGTTCATTCTAGTCTCGTAAGTCCACGTTTGACCCCATGAGTCCTGCAGGTCGTTGATCGACGGGTTCTCCCAGTCGATTCGCAGTCCCAATAAACGATCAGGCATGAAGCCGTTCATCATGAGCACCATGAAGTAGGTGTAGAATCCAGCGAGCGACTGCGTCATCCCAATCTGGCCGTAGGTGAGGGATATCAGACGTTTGTTCACCAGCTTGTCGTACTGAGGATTCCGCGGCGCCCGGCGCATTATGTCGGACTCGGCTTTCTCGTAAGCCAGCGCGATGGCTGGAATCAGGTCGGTGCCGACGTCTATGCAGATGACTAACTCGATGACTAACGGTAGCGGAATGGCGAATATCAAGCCGCTCAGCATCGGCATCATTTCCGGCACACTGGACGTCAACGTATACGCAATCGATTTCTTCAGGTTGTCGAATATCAGCCGACCCTCCTCGATGCCGGTAACGATCGACGCGAAGTTGTCATCCATGAGTATCATATCAGCCGCGTTCTTAGCGACGTCGGAGCCGGCGATACCCATTGCGACCCCGATGTCGGCCTTTCGCAAAGCCGGCGAGTCGTTGACGCCGTCGCCGGTCACGGCCACGATCTCACCCAGCCGTTGGCAACTCTCCACGATCAGCAACTTCTGCTGCGGCGACGTCCTCGCGAATACTATCTCCTCGTAACGACGTATCACATTGTCCAATTGACGGGAATCCATGTCCCGCAATTCGTTACCGGTGATGATAATCGCTTCGGTGTCCATATCGGACAGCTGCGTGTAAGACTTGCCCTGCAGGATCGCTCTCTCGTACCTGGTCTCGTGGCCTTCGCTGATGATGCCCACTTTCTTAGCGATCGCCATCGCCGTCACCGGATGATCGCCCGTGATCATAATCACCTTGATACCGGCGGTACGGCACTTCTCCACCGCCTCAGGCACGCCCGGCCTCGGCGGATCCTGCAGACTTATCAGCCCAACGAACCTATAGTTTTTCGTGGGGAAGTTGTAAGTCGCGGGCGACTCGGTATTGAACTTGTAGTCCGGCCCGTACACGTTAGCGGGCAAGTGCAGGTCACAATACGCCAGCACGCGCTCACCGAGATAACCTAGCTCCGTGCAGGCTCTGCGAGATATCGAGTGATCATTCGCGGTCATGTCGTGGGTCATGCCGTCTGTGTTGAGCATCTTCGTGCAGATCTCCACAATCACTTCTGGAGCGCCTTTCATGATTATCGTGTAGCCGTTGGCGTCACGGTGTATGGACAACTGATACTTGGTGATGGAGCTGAAGGGGATCTCGGCGACCTTCGGGTGGGCGTCGCGGAGCCTCTGCGTAGAGTGGATGTGCTCGCAAAAGCGGAGGATGCCAGTTTCAGACGCGTCGCCGATTACCTCGCGCTCCTCGATAGGCGCCAGCATGTAGGATTCCTTGGTGAACTCGGCGCGCAGGCACAGCGTGCTGACCTTCATCATGACTTTGAAGGCCGGCTTCTCTAGCAGCAGGTCCCGCTCGACGCCCATTCGCTCGCCCGGCGGGAAGTTATATCTGGTATGACCGAACCAGAGATTCGATACGGACATCTTGTTCTGCGTGAGGGTACCGGTCTTGTCGGAACAGATGGTCGAGGTCGAGCCCAGGGTCTCCACTGCCTCCAGGTTCTTTACCAGACAGTTCTTGTTCGCCATCTTCTGCGCGGTCAACGTCAGGCAAGTCGTTACGGTGACCAGTAACACCTCGGGCACGTTGGCGATCACTATTCCGAGCAGATAGGTGAACGCTCTCACGATATTCGGCTCTAACAACATCGACAGTCCGAAGAAGATGGCGCCGGACAAGATCGCCACAATCGTGATGATCTCGACGAAATGTCTGATCTCCTTGGCGATCGGCGTCTCGATCTTGGGCAAGTGCGAGGTGAGCCCGGCCAGACGGCCGATCATAGTGCGATCGCCTGTGGCGATAACGATCCCCTTACCTTCGCCTGCCACGGCGAACGACGAGAAGAAGGCCACGTTGGAGGACTCGAGCGGATTGTTGTCAGTGGGGTAATCGGTACGCACCACTGGCTCGCTCTCACCGGTGATGCTGGAATTCTCCACCCTAAGTCCGTGGCACTCGGTGATCCTGATGTCGGCCGGTATTTTGTCGCCCGTACGAATCTCTACCACGTCGCCCACAACCAACTCTTCTGTGGCCACTCGTAGCTTGACGCCGCCGCGCAACACCGTGGCGAAGGTGGGCACCATCTTTTTGAAAGATTCCATCACCTTGATGTTCTTCGTCTCCTGTATGTACGCGAACACGCCCGAGATGAGGCAGATCAGAATAATGATGACGCCCAACCATGTGATACCGATGTCGGGCTCGTGCATTAAATAAGTGATTAAGTACAGAATGAAGCACAAGATCGCGCAGATCCACAGCAACAAGGCGAACCCGTGGAACATGCACTTAATAAACTTGATGTATTCCGGAGTGACTTTGGGCGGTGACAAGGCGTTCGGTCCGTCTCGTAGAAAGATTGCCTTGGCTTGCTCCTCCGTCAGACCCATCTTCGGATGCGTGTTCAGTTTCGCACACAAGATATTCAAGGCTATCACGTGGTCGACAGTCTCCAACTCTTGATGCAATTCTTGTATCTCCTGCTCGGTCAGTTTCCTTTTGTGCATATGTATAGAGGACGTGCGAGCCAGCACCGCTTGCTGCACCTTCGAAGAGGTCCGCTGCATCTTTTACAACGCGGTGAATGCGGTCTCACGAGAACGAAAGATATTTTCAGATATTTCCGTGACATAAGTCCGTGTTAACAGTTGTCACTTGAAACTTGTCTCATGTGAGATAGGATTCAAACACAGAGTTCAGAGTGGATCTGATTTTTTCAGCTGAATCGTGTGATACATCTGACATATTATGATCCGTATTAATAGCTGTTACTTGAAATTGTCCTGCGTGAGATACTCAGATCTGAATTTAGAGTTAGGTGAGAGTTTTTTATTTAAATTGTGTGTGTGTGTGTGTGTGTGTGTGTGTGTGTGTGTGTGTGTGTGTGTGTGTGTGTGTGTGTG